CCTTGGTTCTGAGCCACAAATCTTGGCTCACAAAAGTAAATCAGGAAAACATTCACAATATATTTCAGCCATAGTAGAAGTCACGTTTACTATGCATCAACCAGATATGCAAACATACCAAATGTTTGCTGAGGACGTGTCAAAATAACTCACTCAGAATGTTCTCATGAGCCATGAATTACATGTCCTGTTTAATTGCTCAGCTTGCAACCTACTATTACAGCCTTCTGGTAGAAGGCTACCGACTTCAAAGAGCTGCTTGGCAAGCTGTCAGAATCTTGATTGCATTCCAGGAACAAGAGACCCACGAGTTTGCTCTGCTGGGCATTGCCACATGCAGGTGAGTAAGGACTATAAATGTTAAGGCACACCTTGCTCTCCGTGGCGCAATACCCAATTTCAATCTCTCTGCTGAACAGTTCGCCGCCCACCTGGGCGTTTAGAATCATCTGCAGCGATGCGCGCCCAGGCCGTGTGTAAGTCAAGATGCACGTCACAATGGGGTGACTGTAGGGCTTGGAAACTGTGCGCTGCTGGCCTGTGTAGTACAGGAAAGCGAGCCCAGTGCTAACGTGGCAATGCTGGAGTGGCACTCCCTCCAGCTTGTGTGTGGCGCAGTCGTTTATTCACGTCTGCAGCCCTGGAAACATGTGGCACGGTGACAGGCTTTGTCTTCTCACAGCCCTTCTGAAAGCCAGCTGACAGCCATCCCATCCGAGCAGGCATTCCTCCGCTTCCCTGCGAGCCGCCTGGATCAGCAGCTGCTGTGGTCAGCCGTGCGCGAGCCCCCTTCCGAGTTCCTCCCTCGTACCCTTGTCAACAAAGTGCTTGGCTGCGTAGCTAACCGCGACTCTCCCCCTCCCCCCCCCCGATGAAAGAAAGGCAACATAAATGCCCCCGTGAAGCCTGCGGAGCATTTATTTTTGCAGGAGAAAGTGCCACGAGCATGGCAGCACTGCGCAGAGCAGGGAGCACGGTTCTCGAAAACCCACGGGGACCCCCGGTTTCTCGAGGTCGCCCTACAGCTACATGAAAAGAAGCACCTCATTAGCAATCCCTGTGCGGACCTCCCTCACAATAGCCCGGTCCTCAGGTCGATGACTCCCCATCTGCCTGTGACCTCGGAGGCGCTTATTCAACGGAATTCTTCACGCTTCAATCTCAGCAGAGGCTGCCTGAGCATCCGGCTCCAATTTGGCTCCCCGGACTTCAAATCAAAACAACATACAAGAACTCCTGCAAGGAGAGCCCGCAGGGGACCAGACCTGCGTCCAAACAAAATACACAGCCGCGCTCCCACCCGTGCACAGCGCCCTTTCAGAGGAGAACTGGCTCACTTGCATCACATCACTAAAAGCAGTTAAACAAAAACAGCCGTCTGTCTCTCTGAATTGCAGTGTGAAAATGAGCTGCTTCTTCTGTGGTATTCTGTCACAGTTATCCAATTCTTTACTTCTCCTTATTAGCCATTACTGATAGGAGATATGCTATAAATCCAAGCCTTTTGTGTGATGTGCTGTATGTGATCCGGAATATTTGAGCTTGTTCATTTGATACCAATACTCAATTTTCCTAAATGTGTATTCCCAATTTGCTATTGGATTTATCCACCCAGTCGCATAGGCCTATTTGAGGAACACAGGATATGATGCAAGAACACCTTTCAAGGGGAGGAGTGGTTTTGAGGTTTTACTTTTGAAAAAATATGAATGAAATAAACGAGTAACGGAAAATAAATTAGCCAAAAAGCGGAAAAGACGTTGCGTAACATGAACTGACTTTTTTGAAAACTTAAAATAGGCATAAACTGGTTTAACAACAGCTTGTTTAATAAAACAAACAGTCTAGACAGTGCTTAGCAAGTGTATGGTCGGTCACAATTTAAAAAGAATGGGTGCCCCGTGCTGCAGTCCATTAACTGAAGGCAATTAAAGGCGGCAGGTACAGCACACAATAGGTGGAGAAGAGAGCACACCATGCTCATTGTTTTATGCACGTTGATGGACTGCTAGATGCAATTCCAAAACTGCAAGCAATCTGCTGTGATCTGTTCAGTCCATTGTCCATATGGCATGAATCCACACCTAAGACAACTGGATTTCAATGTGTCTAGAGTTCTGAACAGTTTACTCAGATCTCATCTTTGCGCACCAGAGGCAGTGACGATACTGTGTCGACCACAAGTGCAGAGCCACATCCTTACTGGTCTTTGCTGAATGGTTACACGTAGAGTCCCCTAGGGTTCGGACCTGAAAATGACCTTTCCTTATTTTTATATTATGTACAGTACTGTAGAAATATTAGTATAAGAAGCAATATAATTTATTTAAACATGCATTTCCCCGTTTATTTAGTCCATGGGCTACTACTGTACATACAGCACTGTTGAAAATACTGTTGAACAGGCTTTTCCATAAATCTGATTTTCTGAGCACAAATACCAAAGCTCTCAACACCTCTAACAGAAGATGAAACAGCACCAACCGACTGCAAAAAGAAATTTTCTGGAATGTGTTCCACGCCTCTAAGGCATGGGTTCGGATCAAACTCTCTCAAACCAACACATGTAACGGGCGTGGCGAGGCCTTTTCTTACTTTACACAGGACGTTGCTACAACTACAGCACAACACATCGGGACTGATGGTGACAAAGATAGGTACTGAAAATGACACCGCAGAAAAGCAGCTCATTTCTCACACACTGCATCACACGGCATTGATGATGTACAGCCCTTTCAGTGACACCTACTGTACATACAAAAGGGCAATCCCCAAAACCATGCATGTTCAAGTCAATTCTGTGTAAACGCTGCGAATGAAAAAAATACATTAATCAATAATGCTTGAAATTTCACATTACAGCTATACAAAACTGCTCCCAGCCACCTCATTAATTAAAACTATTTAAGTATAATTAGCTGTAAACATTTTACCTATATAGTAGCTACTGCATAATGAATACGTTTCTTCCCGGCACTGATTCTCCAAGGTGAAACGATACGAGGACTGTAAAATCAGAAAAGCAAAACGAGCTCTCTTTTATTGGCTAGACGGGCAGAATTACTTTTTCATTCCAGCACAATTGCCAGGCTGTGTGTGAGAACAGCACTTGGGAGCAATGAAACAAGGGCACTGATTTTAACTTCTCAGTTAATGACTGTAAAATGACTGCTGTCAGCCCACACATGGTTTTTTACTTCAAATCCCAAGCTCACACAATTACAGACTTATTATTGAGACAGAAAAAGATAACCATAGCCATTGCCCTGCAACAGTGAATAACTCATAATTTCCTTTAATTTAAAACTGTTTTCAGTAGACTTGTGTATTGTATTTGAACAGAACAAAGCAAGGTTTAAAACAAGACTTTCCTGGGAATTACAGACACTTATCCAGTTTTTAAAGTCTTTTTCCATCCCTGATAAAAAAAAGCATTGTTAAAACACCAGGTTAGTGCGGAAATCGCACTTGATCCAAATAAAATAATTGCGTTCCGCCGAGTGGACCACACAGGAAACCTGTTTCTAAACAAGACACAAAGAAGTTCATTCCACAGAGCAATTTCAGAGAGCATGAAACCGCGCTCTATGGGGTGACATCAGGGACTGGAGCTGGGTGTTTTGCCGTTAGTTTGGCTGTGCCTGAATCCCAGCTCCATTGTACCGAACTGATCAATACTGCACGATTAATTACAACCTCAGAATTCACACCCTATCTGTTTAAACTCCAGACACCCACAACACATGCACGTCTTAAAAAAAGGGGACAAACCATTAAAAGATTCTATCAGAATGCTGGTTATAACAGCTATAAACACAACCCTTTTTTTAAAATAGGTGCGGGGAGATTCCTAAATAAGAAGGGAAATCTAACTCTTGCAAGGCACTATCCACCCTGATAAAAGCAAGACACCAGCATTATACAGTAACTGTTACTAATGTTATTAACCCGAAAGACAGCTGTTGTTATGCATGACTTGTTCCGCATTTCAATATGTGAATATTAAGTCTACAGGCATGTTGTTCCAGTGAAAAGAGAAGATTCCAGACAGGCATCACAGATATCCACAGACCACAAGTCTGTAATATTGTACATTTTCAGAATATTGATTTTGCCATGAAAGGATTGCATCTCCACTAAGATAAGCACTTGTATATAAATACTGCAAATATGCATTTTGACACTGAACGAGGAGGCAAAGTCACATTCCTTCCTCGGAGGTTTTAAAACGAGCAACCCTTATCCGAAAAGTCTGTGCGCCCACCAGCATTTTAGCACTAAATGCTGTCAAGACATGCTTAAGGACAGCCGCCAGTAACAGATAAGCAAAATGAATTAAATTAAAAATAAACTTATGCCGGCATCTGTCTTGAACTTCAAAAGACAGACACATTCAGCCGCCTTAGCACACAAAGAACATTAAAGAAAGGACACGCGCATCTGTTTTGATTTTTTCCAGCAAAACGCAGGACAACAAAAAAAAAAAGCAGCTTAATGAACAAAATGTACCAACTGCCTGTGAAGATGCAAATGAACAAAGAACGAATTGAACAAATCCGTCAAAGGAGCCAGCAGCAAGAACGGGGAGGGGAAAAAAAAAGCTTTAAAATGCAAAAAGAAAAAAAAAACCTTTAAATTCTGCTAGTCAATTTTCCTTGACAGAACAAAAAAAGCAATCAGTGCTTTCTGCAGAGAAAAAGACAAGCATGCTCAGTTACCGTAGGTGCAGTTACAACACAGCCTGAGAATCAGTAGAATTTCCATGTCAATCTTCCCTCCACCTCTACAGCCATTTCTCCCTGCCTACTACTCTCCATAGCCAGTCAGCCAGCGTCTTCACAGGGCTGGAGCAGAGCCACCTCAGCCAGCCGGTTGCATACCCAAGCAGAGGGGTTGGGCAGACCCAGCATCTTAAAGGGGAACCCCCCCCCAATTCAGCAGCGCGCTGTGAGGCGGCTGGTCCGAAGCAGCCTGCCCCGCCACTGCTCCTGCGCCTGCCCCTGCAGGCTGGAAGCGTTCCCGCCCTCAGCGGGGCCCCGGGCCAGCGCAGCGCCGGGGCGAACTCACCTTCCATCGTGACCGTGGTGGTGCAGTCCTTCGAGTCCTTGGGCCCCTTCACTTTGAGGTTCTGCAAGGAGCAAGGGGAATATTCAGCAAAGGCACGGGAACAGGCACGAAGGAAACGCTGACCTGTTGGCTCAATTCAAAACGATCCACCGCAAGGCATGACAAGCTGTAGCAGACAGGGAGCTTCAGCACCAGGTTTCAGAGGCATTTGTTTTTTTAACAACAGATCACTGCACTTGTGCTGCTTCTTTAAAGGTTTTGCCTTTTCGACAAGGAAACTGCACATGCAACAGAAGCCACAGTGCATGGAGAGGAAAACTACTAAATGCTAAAAAAAAAAAACACTTTTAAGAGACAAAACACTGACCAGAGTTTATGGCTGTTCTTTGAAATGACACTTCAGAAAAAAAATATTCTTTTGATTATCTACATTAGGACAATCGCCAATATGTGTACTGATCTTATTGATCTGTATGTTGCCTACTGATCACAGTATCGGTAAGTGCTGTTAGTGCAGTCATTGGAAACAATGGAACAGAAGGATTCATTTCTTAATACAGAACAGTGCCATTACGCTTCAAAAAGCAGTCCTATTAACCCTGTCCTTCCCAAAAAAGTAACCTACTTCCGTGGAATGTTACAGGAAATTGTTTTATTTGGCACTTTCACACATTGGGGGGGGGGGAAAAAGAGAAAAGCTGCAAACAATCACATGTACTGATAATAGAAACAGAAACACAACATCATACAGTATGCAAAGGAAAGAAACCGGCCCCCATTGTAGAGTAGGAAAGGCTTTAAACTAATTTGATGCTAAAGATAAATCAAACTGAATATTAACCAACATATAAAAGGGGAATGGTTAAAAATAAAATGTCATTTTACTTCATGCAGACACGGTGCTGAATTGAACATCAAAACGCACAGTATGCTCAACAATGCCATCATAATCTTGACCCTTGATTTGAATTCTTTCTCCTTACCTCTGAGATCTTCTGAAACTGGATGTTCGCCTGGCTACATTGCCTGGCAGTCTCTACGGCAACTTTGTAGTTATCCACAAATGCTTTGTAAACACCAAGTTGGCTAGCCTGATAAAAAAAAAACAACAATTTTAATAAAAGAAGAGGCTGTGAGCACTTTGCTTCAAACAGTTGGAACAGGCATGAAAGGTGGAAGACCACCGTTATTTTAAAGGCTCTTGATCCTAAAGACCTTGGGAGCTACATTAATACAGATGTGTAGAAGTCTGTTTGGGGGGATTTCACCTGAGAATATGAAATTACACAAAGGCAGAAAACACCAGGATGTGTTCTGTGGCTTGCAGCCTGATCCATCTCAAGCTGTGGTGCAGCCTGCCTCTGAAACTCAGAAACAAAACTTGGGCTTGAGTCTCACTGTACGTAAAATACCACAAACGACTGAAAGCCCACTCAATCCTCTGTGCCTACTGTATGAACCAAACTTTTGAAGAAGCAACTTCATTGTCTTATCATTCTGTCATTTTCTAAAGGCATTAATCACAGTAAGTGGGAGATTGTCAAAATGTCAAGAAACTGCTTTGAGGTCCCAGCAGAAATTCAGTAAGTCTTTGTAAAGGTCTGCTTTTGTCCCTACAATACAATTCTTCCTTCCCATGCATTTGCTAAACACAACACAATCGTTTACACTGGGTGTCTTTGTAATTCGGTTCATGCAATTAAAGATGATCTCTGGCCCCCTGACAGACAGATATGCATGTTTAAACACCTTTAGCATGTGTTGCTTGCCGACAGTATTAAAAAAAAAGGGCTGTGGGAAATGGAGCTAGCCACACACTTGACCTCCAACCCTATATAGTGCTTTGCATGTCAAAAGGTGTTGTCTGGGGCAGCCTGGGGCACCTGCAGGCTCAAAGTGCTGTCATTGAGGGAAGCACCTCTCCCCTGATCAGCTGCACCGCCTGGGAACGATGTGGCAAAAGACCACTAGCAGAAAGGAAGACGCGTCAGAGGAACCTGCCTCCACTTCCTCATTCGCCCCTGTTTGCACTCATGGGGTTTCTAATTTCAGCCAAGATGAGAAAAAATAAAAAGGCATAACTGGCTATTCCAAATTGGGTGGGTGTCACAAAAGTTAATGGCGGTTCGATATAAAGAAAAAAAGGAAAGCTGCTGTCCTTGAAGATCAGTCCTGTTGCAGGTGTTTGAAGGCATGAACAAGCTGCAAGGGAAGAGCTCAAAGTTCTAGCAGTGCCAGCAATTTTAATGACCCTTCAAACGTACACAGCAGCTCAAATGAAGCTGACCTACTTTAAAAGCCACGTCTCGCTGAAAGGAGAAAACTCTCCTTTGTGTTTTCTAGAAAAATACTTCAGAGGCAAGACAAATTTGGCAACACGGAGTTTCTAGTGTCTTACTGTATTTCAACATCCTGGGTGCATTTTTAACCAAAACGACAGGCCACCCTGACTCATCCCACTCTCCACAGGCAGCTTTGAGCTTGACTGTGTTTGAAGCCAGCCACTCTGACACAGACTGGCATGTGTAGAATAATAATACAGGAAACCTCTGTGAGCACAGTCAACGCTGAGACTGTGTCTTAGACATAAGAGCTAATGAACATGCTGAGAGTGAATCAGGAGATCAGCCCTCAAAACACAGCACCCCAAGGACAAACGGTGTCCAACAACATCTGAATTACCAAGAATTACCAATAACAAATTACAATAATTAACTGGAAACAAAATGACATTATCCAAGGTTAATATTGATTTTCAAGGCTTCTTCTCCTTTTAGCTTTACATCATTAACTCAATCCCTCTCCACCACAGTAAAAGCAAAAGAAGATGACAGAGAGAGTTGTTAAAAGTTTAACCCTTCCTGAGCCACGGAAAATGGCGTCTCTTTTTGATGCCCTTACTGTGCAAACTTGTTCCCTGGTGTTAAAGAACTAAATCAGGGGTGTCCAGCTCTTGGCCATGGAAAGCCAGTCTTTCTATAATGTCAGCATGGGAAAAGCAGATAAAGTGCTCCGATTAAGCAGGTAAATAGCCGAGCTGGAATAAGAACTTGCAGGCAGCAGTGCTGTCCCAGGGCTGGACATCCTTAGAGCAGCCGTGCCCTTTAGCAATGAGATATGCAGACGCTTCAGGTCTTACAGGAGATCTCGAAGAAGCCAGTGGTACAACGGACAAGTGGCAAAGCCTGACAAGTGGAATGAACTATCACTGAAATAAAGAGCAGCTCAATTCCATCAGCTCCTGACCGCCTTTCTGCAGCAACACACACAGCACCCGAGATCTCTCTGCCCTCATCTACTGTACATCCTTCAATAACTCTTCTTCTGCAGTGTCCTGATGTTCGGAACTCTCAGACTGGTATTGTTACTGCACTTGTTCACTGTAGGCCGGGAACACATACCTACAGGGTGTCTACATTACTTCTCTGTATCCACACTCCTGCTATTTCATTTTGCACTTGCACTTGTTCTTATTTAAATGAATGTACTGTACCTGCACCCTGCACCCTGCACAACCATTTCTTGGACTCATACCTAATGTAATACTTCAATATTTGTGAAGTACTTTTTATTTAAATTAAAATTTATTTTTTCTAAATCTGCATAACGCACAGTTAAAAAAGGACAGAATACAAATATGGAGCCTGGCATCCCTCTTCTTCTGGGGTTTCTGACTAATCTCCCTCTCGCTTACACGTCCATGACATCTAGTATGTGCTTTATTTTGAAATTAAAGGAACACTCCTCAGATATAGGGACTAAAAAAGAAAGAACACACTGAAACATTACAGATCCCAGTGCTTCAGTTATAACTCATCCTGAAAAACAAACAATTACAAAATTACGGTTTAGTCCTACACCTCAATCTTTAATTTCGGGGGGGAAAGTGAAACATGACAACAGCACAAAATCTTTCAAATCCACAACACCACCTCGACTGCGATGCGTCTCCTGAGAAGCAAGTGTGAAGCTGGCAGCCTTGATTAGAATCAGTGACGTACGCTGTATCCTAGCAACATCTCCGCTCTGATCAAAACTGCATGCTGCCTGAGGAATAAAGGCAAGACCTGTTTTTCGTTTTCACACCAGCAGAAGTGTTTGGGATAACACAAGTGACTTAAGTATTGCACTTTAAACTGTTTCTAGTACACCACGCATGCGTCTCTTAATTACATCATACTGCAGCACAGTCTGCACCTGAAGGACACGCGTCATATCAAATGCACGTAGTCATTTTTTGCATGATTTCATACCACAAATCCTGCCAATCATGTTTCCTCAACAATTTGCGTCCAAGATGCCTAAACCCATGCTACATGCACACAGGTCACACAGATGCATACTGTCAGGATTTAATAAGCAAAGATTTCTCCCTAAATTCAAACCCTCAATTGAAAATCTTTAGAGAGACATATCTACACATTCATACTGCATAATACTGTATTATACCCTCCTAATTCTTGTTCATTTTTCAGTGCTGTTATACTAAATGTCATCAGCCTTCTGAGCATGGCAACTGGGCATTTTAATTAATTTGTTTAGTTTAGAATGACTCAGTGGCTATAGCTTAAGAAAAGACAAACTAATCTCCCCAGTGTTTTATCCATTTTTATGCCGTGTATTTTAAATGAAACCCCTCTACCCCCCCTCTGCCTCCGACCCCTCTAACCCCCCCCGCTGCACCGCTGCAGATTAGCAGTAAGAACAGGTACAGTTACTGCCAGGCATCTGTATTTCTCATACACCCAGCATCGCGCTGTACAGATGGAGTGGGAACCAACGCCTCTTCTCAAGCCTTTCAAAGAGGCAGCTGAGCCATGGGATGAGGGGAAGCAGAACGGCGCACTGGTGGGGAATTCTGTTTGCTTTCAGGTTGCTCCGGGGCAGGTGGGATGTAATGAAAAATCTAAAATGCTCAAAGATACTTTCGGCAAAAGGCAAAAGAACCTCAATTGCCACCCAAGCTTTGATTCCTTCAGCGTAGCGTGTGTAGCAGAGCAATCCATCAAACTGCACTGCACTTAGACAGCTGTACAAACTACTGGAAAAAGGAATGAGATGAGAGACTGAAAGACTAGAACTGCAGTTTGCCAAAGACACAGCAATACGATATCACGCTTTAGGAACAGAGAAACAGGACTTTCAAAGAAGCCCTGGATTCACGCAGGATTTAAAACACAAAAACTTCCGTTTGAAGACACATGCTAATCAGATTTCACTGAAAGCAACAAATGACTAATTCAGTATTTTAATTACTGCTGACTGAACCAAAGAAAGCTAAAGAAATAGAAGCACATTTAGGTTCCTATAGAGCCAGAATTAATTTTCGGAGCTGTGTGTAAATCTAGGACATTGTAATAAACTTCCATACACCCACACACAAAATTAAAAAACATTTGCTTTACAGCATCCAACTCTCTAAAAAAAAAGGAAATGAGCATAGCTCAGTCTTAACCACCCTGAAAAACCATTGCGATACTTCAAGATGATCCATGCTCTGAAATATTTCATAGCATGTAAACCTCATTTTGTATTGCTTGGAATTTCACTTTTAATTATAAGACAAGCAGGCAAACATAGCTTTGACCACCACCTTTTAATTTTTTAATCTCCGTTGAATTGTGGCACGGCTTGAACTTTTAAGCGCCCACTGTAACGCTACAGGATATATCGCTTCCACGTCTTATGCTCCTACTGTTTGACATTTTTACTAATGAATTTTTAATTCGTAAAATGATTTTTTCCAATAGTGAAACTGTACTAATAAACCGAGGGGATGTCCTTCATTTCTCCTCTCAAAACCTTGCTTCCCTTATGATGAATGCTAAGTGAATTGTGCCCTTTTTTCCTCAAAAAGAACACCGAAAAGAAACCGGTAACATATACATGTCATCTGTGAGCATCTTGAAACCTTGTAATCTGGGAAACGCAGAAGAGCTCGACTGCAGGGAAGATCTTGAGAAATGAAATGCTATGAGGGTGCTCTCATTACCAGCTCTGGAAGGGCTGATCCTCTCCTGCAGGATGCAAGACGCACGGATGTAATTAACTGCGGAAATGAATTTTAGGGGAGATGTGACTCACTTGCACATGAGGGATTTACAGTAGACTGCTCTCTCATTTGGGGAGCAGCGAAAAAGGGGGTTTGGGCAAAACAAGAAAGGGAATTCTCATGGTCCTGAGGAGATCATCCGACAGAGGTTTAACTCCTAAGGATTGACATCTGATACTCGACATCTTCTCCAGAAGCATGCATTACATAAACAATTTACTCAAGTTGTAAAAACAACTTAATAAAGCTGAGCTGGTTTAAAAGAAATAAGGTTCTTCAAATGCTCATTAAACAGAGTTATTAAGGACAACTACAGTAAATGTACTGTGAATGACTGAATTTTGTCTTGAACTCAGTTTTCATTCACTGATTGTTACACGTTCCGCTTTGGTCTAAAAGCACAGCACATCTTTGATTTTAAATTATGCTATGAAATAAATAATTTAAATGCACTTAATCATCTTATTTTCACCTGATTCAGACTGCACCAACAAAGGACATATCCACAGAGTCACTGCATTATCTATGTAAGACAACACCAGTGCCAATTTAATGCCAGATCTTGTTGTAAGATGCTCACAAAAGAAATTCAAATGCTCCTCCCCACTGCGAAGGGTCGGTGTCTGCTGTCTGCTGTCGGTGGTGAGGGAGTTCTGTTGGATGGGCTTACCAATTTCTGAAAGAGGTGTCCCACTGTGACCTTGTTGTCCCACTGCTGAATGTTGGGGTACAGTTCGTCATAAAACTCCTTGTGGACCACAAAAATGTCCTGGATTTTGTAAAAAATGGTCTCTATTTGCTGTATTGTCAAGACAGGCTGGGATGTGGTCGCTGTCGCTTTCAGGGGCTTCATGGGCTGTAGGGAAACAAACGGCTGCGTTAGAACAGAACAAGAGCATCGCGATCTATACAAGACATCGGATGTCCAGGACTAATATTTCTGCAAATAAGATCAAAAACAAAGCCACACCATTTCCTTGCTAGCGATTGCATATGTGTCTCAGTATTTTCAGTATGACTTTCAGTTCAGCCGTTTTATCATCGCTTGATTCATGCTTGACTGCTCAGGGGTTTTAATTCCAATTTAATAACAATGCTGCCCAAATTAAGATGGATTTATAACTGTCGAAATCTGTTATTTTTTAAATCCGTGCCTGCTTTGGGGTTCTACTCCAGGAGATGGGCGCTTGAGCCCAGCACAGGTCAGTGGTTTACGATGCGAATTATTCAAAGTACGTACGCAGGGAGACAGCTCTGCTTGCTGTGCAGGGCTCGCTGAAAAGGGAACCCAAAGCTATACCCCTTCATTCTGACATCTCAAATGCTGTCTCCCAGGTCAGCAGGGACACACAGCTGCAATTCTGATCCAGACCCCTCAGAAACCAGCATTGCTTAAGGCGACCCCAGGCCTCAGTGTGAGCTGCACACAACCCCTTCACTTTTCATTTAGGATGTTTATTCCCAAAATGTTATATTCGGATAAATGCTAACAGATGCAAGTCGAAACATAAAACTCTCAGGCCTGACAAAAAACAAAATATTCTTAGATTCCGGCCTTTATTTCGGGGTGCAAACTGTGGCTGATCTGGTGCACTGCAGCTTTAGACTGTGAGCAATGCAGCCACACAACAATAAGGAGCAAAAGTATTACAGACAAAAAATAAGCTGAATGTGAATTAAATTGTACGTATTATGCAAATTAAAACAAGAAAAGTGACATAAGCTGCTAAATCACATAGATGCAAGGTTATGCACTGGAAGTTCTGGAGGCACAGATGCTTTCTACTGGTACATTAGCCCTGTTTTACACCAGTCACAGTAGATCTTTGTACTGAAGCAACATGTGGTTTGCAGAAATTCTGTCATCTTACAGCCACATTCAGTCTTTCACCAGTATGCATCTCAAGTCAAGTGTATTATGTGTACAATGACTCTGCAAGCATAATTTCTTAAGCAATGAGTATACTTTTTTTCTGTCCTCTGTACTCATTAATTAAACCTTTTTCAGAGTCACCTGGTTTTAGTGTCTGTGAAGCAGCACAACATTTTAAAATCAGTACTTTCTTTCCCCATGGGTTAAAAGACTAAACGTTTTCATCCTAAACGTGCTGCGCTGCATATCATCCCCAGGAACTGCCTGTTAACTAATTGTTTTCCCCTTTTGAAGCAGGATATGCTTGTATTCTTGTTGTTGAACACACGGGAATATTTTTAATACAGCGTGCATGCTACTTAAACACGCCACACACACAAAAAAAGAGCTCAGCTGCTGAATTGCTTGAAAAGTACAAAAGACATCAGTCATGCCGGAGGACACTTCCTCTTCTTAAAACCAGAGATCAGGAGGCAAAACAGAACCATCCACTTCTAAGCTCCGTTAGTCATCAAAAGGGCTGAAAAAGCAGTTAATGATCATCTTAATAATCACTGACTCAAGCGCACCCAACTCCCACAGTATTCAGTAACTCTTACTCCATTTCATTTTTTTTGGGGTGTGCAACTTGGAATTATTCTTGGGGTGTTTCAGTCAGATCAGGGTTCGTCTGGGCAAAGAACGAGACCTTATCCTAGCAAAAGGATAAATGCTACACAACAAAAACCACCGTGCCGTGGCCTCAGTCATCAGCTCCATCGCGGTCTTGTCGGTGTTTTCAACCAGACCTGAAGCTGAGACCACATACGGTCTAGGCACCCTGGCACAGCCCCACCGTGACAAGACGGAGGTGATAAGCTGGTGAATCTGATGACAAGAGGTTTCATGTGGAAGGTGCATGCATCTCAGTGGCATTCCTTTCGTCCTGCAGATTGACGAGTGGGGTCTCTCTTGGAAATATGCCCCCTATCAGCTTCCTTTCCATAATTTATAGTGGGGGAAAAAAAGAATAAGCGGGGCAATTGTTCAGTACAGCTGCTGGATCGCTCACCTGAAGAACTAGTGGATGCAAGTGGTTCTGGAGCAGAAGCACGAGTCAGACCATGGCTTTTTACAAGCTTTCATTTCTTCTGATGCGCAGCTCTTTGATTTTTCCTTTTCAAGTTTCTGCTTTTAATTAGTTAATTGGCACCAGTAAAAATGTTTTTAAAAAACTATTTAAAAAAAAGAATTACATTTGAGCAAGAACTTACTCAGCTGGAGTATATTTATGAATTGTACGTTATACTAGCTGTGGTGATGTCTAAAGAGACTTTACTTGTACATTCATTATCCTTTAAATAACCGAGAAAGAAATTAACTCTGTACGAGCTGTCAGAGCATAAAACTGACAGTGCAAGTCAATAACAGCACCAGTATGATGGAACTGAACACCACCTATAAAATCAGACGGTTTTCTAAACTGTCTGGTTTCCTCTGCCTGTGTTCTGCCCATGATCTGGTGGGTTTCCTCCTTCAGGGCACAGACCGAAAAGCTGGTCCAGACCGCACCCTGCCCTGCAACCACTGCTTGCCAGGACAGACTCTGGCCCTCCTGCAGCCCTGAACTGGATGAAGCTGGAAGAAAACAGATGGGCAAGGTGGAGTCCTTAAGATAAAATATCATTATGTATCTAAATAAATCACTTTGACAGTCTCGAAGAAGTACCATTTAGGGTATTTCACTGCTGATTATCCATATTTTACAATGCAATCCAGCTCCAGAATGATTTAACGAAATAATCATCAGCTGTGTGGTTTGTACGTGAACTTAACAGATAAAGACCCCACTCATCACCAACAAGATTTTTATATATACAAACTATTAATCTGGAGTAGCACACTTTGGCAACAGGAAGCATGGATATAGGTCTTTTGCGAGAATTCACATGCATTCACTGCATTCCCAACATTTTTTTTTTAATATTCCTTAAAACATCCTTAGCTGTATTTCACCAAACAACTGCCGTTCATCAGTTACTGATTTTATTAAAATTATAACTAGGCCTAGCAAAGTCAAGGAGGCAGTCCTCAGCACTAAAATTAGGTAGGGGGGTATTTGTGTGTATTCTGATCAATAGTGGACAATTCAATCACCTTGACAGCTCTGCAAAGAGGATGGTAGCAGTTATACAATGAACAGACTTAAGAGCAAGCATCCATCACGAATCCATGAAACTTAATTCCTAACCGAGTAAAATATATTTGAGTTATTTCAAATGTGCTGGAGACATCATAATAACCCGCTGTTGCAGTGCCGAGCAGGCTCGCTTCTTTGACAGCTACTGCCCGCGATTAGACCAATCATGACAATCTGAGTGACGGTATCGCTCGTAGGATCTACTGTGTACGATATGCAAATGCCTTCAGCCTTTGACCCCTGCCTGAATTTCCAGGTTTGACTTACAGCTATAGTACAGTCACTGTAGGGGAAAAAAAACAGAGGAACAGTAACTGTAACAAGGCGTAAAAGAAAAAGCAAACATGACAACTTACAGTAACTGGGCCAAGGTGAACTGACAGCTCTCTGCAGAGCTTTCTGTATTTTTTAAACCTAACCAAGAAACACTTTTCAAATACATCAAACACTGGTTATGATGCAGTATTATGTGATGCCCTTGCATTAAATCTGAGTTTTGTATTTAGAAAACCCCTAATATGGTTGATCTAAAGTTCCAGTTCTTAAGAAGCACACTACTGAATGAATCAGCTTCTGAAAAATGATAAAAATGAATAAATTTTCTACAATGGCTTCTACAGCTTTGATTTTTACAACAGGGATGGATTTAAAAAAATACAATGTTATAGGTCCAAAACACCTAAGAAATAATGTGTGCTTTTTAAGTAAACACAAGCACAAAATGAAGCTTTGAGCTGCACAAGGTGGTTTCAGAAAAAACACAACAGAAAAAGCTTAAAATTGTTGTTTGTAATTAAATATCTTACCTCTTGCAAATTCAATCTACATTCTATTCATTTTTTAATTTGTATGATATGTTCAATAAGTATGTTTACACCCTGACTGATTTAATTTGCTTTCACAGTCAGCATCATGGAAGCCCCACACTTTCTAAGCAGTTCTGGGCCTTTATCTCCCAGAATCCTGGTTACACTCAGCAACCAGGGCTCTGGGCTTGTAAGTAGACGCTTGTGAGGCTGCACCCCAGGTGGAAGGTGCTGTTGTGCCCCTGAGCAAAGTTCTTCATTTAGACTGTTTTGGGAGAATACCCAGCTGCTGGAATGGATACAAATGGCATCGGTTGCTTTAGATGAAACTGTCAACCAAATAAACTACAGTACATGTCTGGATGTCTTCACAGACACATGGATCCAGTATCTTGAAAGAAAGCCTTTTTGGATTCACTGTGGCACTCAGGTGTAGGTGAAGGTGGAACTGCAGCCTTGTATAGAGTTAACCGTCTCTCGCAACCTCCACTTGAAATGAAATCGTTAAGGGAGGGTATAGGACATGGACAAAAGCCCGTTACAATGCTTCTGTAAGAACAAAACAAGAACCAACTAACAAAAAAAGAACCAGCAGGAAATGACATAGTACATTGGCAGGAAGGAACTACATTTCTCAATGGTTTCTTAATAGGGGCTTTTTTTAGAGTTGCTTTGTTTCTCTTTCTTTGTCCTAAATACCCACTCACAGCACTTACAAGATCACAGATCTGTAGACAACAGTGCTTGTAAAAAAAAACAGCGAGATCAGGTTTGTGCAAAACTTACCAAAAGCAAAGCTTCCAGCTGGTTGATGTAAATTTCTTCGCTGGCAAGGAACCCAGAGAGGACCAGTTTCCTCATTTCCAGTCCCTTCTCAGTATCCATGTCGCCCTGAGACACAAGAGGAAAAATCAGGAGTCCAGTCAGGATTTAACAGCGTCTCCGAAAACACCTGAGGACCTTCAGCTGCAAACATTCTGAACTGAGAACTAAGATACTTGACAACCTTGGGAATAAAGGTGTGTAGTGCACAGGTGACAACTTCACAATGCATTAGACTGCGCACATGCAGCACGTTTCAGGGTGTGAAGTGACGTAAAACGGGAGAGAGATGACATCTTAGCCAGATGGATGCAGAAGAAAATGTATCCTACATATCTGCAGATGACATCTGCGCAGGATTTAGGAAATGGACATTTAAACAGAGCACCTCTTAGCAACAGCCAGCCACACCTCGTGTTAGAAAATACAACACCGCAATTCATTGATGCAAGAAGGAGTATCAACAGTGTTACTGTGCACCGCACACACCACCAGTTCAACAGGGGCCTATGCACTACTTCTTCGACTCCGAAAGGAGATGCAGTTTCCTGCTGAGTTTTGTCCATAATGCTAAGAAGAGGACAGAACACACGGCTCCTCATACGACTGCATCAGATTTTACCAGTAACAGATATTTCAAAGAACAGAGCTGCAACTGAGCAAAACCACACATAAAATGACACACCCATCAGAATTTCCACGAGCCACAGTTCAAAGTGCGACTACAATGAGGTCTCGCCTAACTCATCGTCTGCCTTTTGCGTTCGCACTGGTCCCAGCGATAGCTGTGTGACCTCCTCTGAATCGAGATAGCCTTTGGACAGGTGTACTTGCACAGGATGATCAAAGCTTTCACTAGAGCCGTGTCCCATGATATTTTATGAATAATCATGGCACTGGACTTAAACCTGCAGATAACAAAAGAAAACGTACAGCAGACGTATTTTTCCACCCACTTAGCTACACTGTATCACAGCTCTTTGTGGACTGCCCCACCAATTATACCAATGACATATGAATAGTTGAAGTAGTGCAACTGCATCAATGCTGTATTCCTGATAAATGCTTAAATTCTTAGTGCTGGGAGTCTGGAATGTGTAGCATCGGCTTAGGGTCTTCAAGAGAGATCTGCAGAGCAGCAGGCAGGCCTGTCACCCAAACTAGGGTTGCAATACAGACCTGTCTGCACTGACTTCTGTCACACATTGCCCGAAAGAAACAAAATCCACAGAAAACGTCTAGCAGGAGAGCACCATCTATGGGCCATCTTGCTGCATATTCATCCTTTGGAGACAGTAGGGAGACGTACAAGAGCCTCTACTGCCTGTGGCTCAGCTTCGCACAAGAAGTCAAACATTAAAACAGCCTTTAAAAGCAGAAGCTCGATTTCCGCCGCTGAAATTCCAATCGGACTTTCCCAAGTCTATGTTAAAAGACTTCCCTTAGAAGTGTCAGGACTGGTTACCAGCAGGACTGCAGTGTCAAAGGTGAGCTGGTTATTATTTGTCCATTTTGTCACAAATAGCAAACATGAACCAGGGCCCAGAAATCGCGACTGGGCCCTCCAGCCTGGAAAAGCGTTTTTTAAGCAGAAACACAACTTTATCACTATCAAAGCTTTTTCCCCATTTCACAATTCTAGACAGAAGACAACATTTTCTTAATATGAATCCTATTTTTGTAGAATTACATCAGCAGGCCACTAGGCATTTCACAGTAAGCATCAGTCTATAACGAGCAGTTTGGCCATCTTTGTTAATGGCGAGGGCCCTGCGCTGTGGCATTTGAATTTGGCTCTTGTGAAGTGGTGTTTTAAGCACACACACGGAAACAGTGACCACAAAAACCTTCTGGGTACAGTGAGGCACCAAGGGAGTAAGTCAATAGTCAAATGTGGTTTTTAAATTTAAGCTTCTTCTTACTGGTGTATTTCAAGAGGAGGAAAGGAACCAGCCTACAGAGGATTCACACAAACACCTGTCTCTTTCTTCAGGTCTGCCCTACAGAGACAGCATTGTTCACATCACACACGAGCCATGAAAACCAGGGCTTTATTTGGCGACAGACTAAAACACATTAAAATTATATGTTGTAACTGAGCCATTTGGATTGATTTAATAGTAATACTAATGACTTTCTGCAAAGAGGTAGTAAAATTCAGCAATACCAAACACTTTATCTCCGATCCCCACGAGCTGCTCATGATTAACATCAGAACTGATCTCTTTCACACTGCTGGCTTGAGTGTGGCCGTCATGTGGTACCACGTCAAACTTTAATGCCAAATGTAGTTGATGCAATGGAAACCGTGGTAGAGTTGGACTTTCACAACTCCAAAGAAGGAAAATAAAAACAGAAGAGAAACAAAGGAAGAAAGACGCTACCGCCAATCACATCGGAATGTCAAAGAATGGTAAAGATACATTTCAAGCATTTTCATGTGATAAAAGGGACAAAATATTTTTTTCTAAATATGGCGAATATTAAGACATACAAGGGAGTGTAATCAAGATCATATCCTGGTTGTATTTAGCTAGACAATAACCAGAGGAGGGGCTGACTGGTCAAAATGTAACAGACCTGCTTGCCAGTTGCTCTTTGTTTTCTTCACGACAGAAATCTCTATGGCTAAAGAAAAACACTACAGAAATGTGAAAAAGGAAACCCAGTTGAAGGCAAAACTGACAACACAGTCTATTTCCCAAATAATTTCTTTCAATTATATCAAAGAGAGCCTGAGATTGTGGATAAAAAGAGCTGAGCTGTAACTTTATCTGCAGAGACTCGCTCGCTTGAAACCTCTCTTTTCAAAATCTAATTGAACTTTCACCAGGGGCACAGCGAACCTATAGTGCTGTCAGCATCTGTTTGCTTTTGCAAAATGAAAATGTTGTGGTTCAGAGACACCAATAAGGACACACCTGCTTGAGCAGGCAAGAGAGTTCACCGGTCTTTTTGGGGGGAATAATAGATGCTTAAGCAAATTTATTGTGGAATGGTGGCACAATAGTCACTTCAGTCTTCCCCGTCTTGAACAATAAATGCAAACTTGTAGGACTTAGTTTTAAGTCTTATCAAACGACTGAGTTTGTATGTGGTCAGCATGCGGACATGCTGATCCGGATGCAGTCTAAACACTGGCACCACGCTTCTAAGCAAGGATGACCTAATAAGCCACCTGTTGGTGCTCAATAAATAAGGTGTCCCTTACAAATAAAAATATTAACAAACTGCAGTTTTACATTTCATCAACTACTTAAACAGTTTTAAACAGCGGAAATTCATTGTTTAGAGAAGGCAGATCACCCCTCAAATGGTGTCATATTTTGTAAGAGCTAAGACAAGGCTATCGTGTATCACTGATATCTGGGATGCAGCATTTTCTGAAAGAAAACTTAATAACTCTTTAATTTTGAACATTGTCGATCGCAATCAGGTATCAAAATTAAAACCTTTACCTCACCTAAGAAAATGTTCTCGATGCTGACCCTGCTTGACAGAGGTGGCCTCTTTCATTTCTTTTCCAAGTAAAACAGGGTTCATCCCTAAATAACCTACTTTTATATCCGCATCTTATCAAAGCAATGTTTCTAGGGGTCTCTCTTCTAGACACAGTCCTTTCTTATCGTGCTTACTCCAAACCACTGAAACTCTCACCCTTCGGCAGCAGGCTGTGTGCAAACATCTGACATTCCTTCACCAGGCCCTTATTATTAAACCCAAGGGCACCTTACTGGGTAATCATACCTCAGGAAAGAGCAAATCTAACCTAAGAAGTGCCCGACCAGTCGAGTACGTCTCAGAAAAACAGCAATAAACACGAGAGAAGAGTGATCCAGAGTAATGCCGACACTGGCATTTATATATTTTTTATTCTCAAACAGCTCAAACCTGAGCTCAGAGTGCGAAAGCAGCCGAGCTTCAGTAACCTCTGATCCCAGGTAAGCACCCATTCCGTTTGCATTTGACGAAATGTCCTGATAAATGAGTCTGGGACAAATCTTTCTGCTAATCCCGCAACACATAAAATCACGCTAGTTTGGTTTCACTTCCTGCGAGCGTGGAAGTCGTGTTATGACTAACCAGCAAGGATACGAAGGCTGGAAGTGTCCACAGCCGTGCGAGGCCTTAAGCTATTTTATATAAACACTGGCTGCATTCCTGGTCTCAAAAGTAGCTTTTTCTCAAGTGTTATATGCACATTGAGAAACCCTTAAGCATAACTGTCACATTTAAAGTTTCTAATGCAATGTACTTAAATTCCCCAGCAGTCGAGAGCACTTTGTCCAGAAACAGCAGGACAGTTTACGAAGAGTGTTAATGAATTTAACAAAGCCACATTTCCTTCACTGAATGTACAGAAAAAGCACCCTTCCTCTCAAGTTTACTGAATGGTTTTCAAAACCACAGAGACACACATGGCCCTGGAGTTCAGACACATGCTGAAGTTCCCACATCGAGTCGTTAGTTTGTTGTCAGGTGTCCATGTGAGTCTCGAGTCCCAGCTGGCAGTTCAAAGTTTCCCTCTGTATTTTGTTTAACCTTTTTCATAAAAACAGTATGGTAACCCATGTTTTTGCTTGAATTCATCAATATTTACACATTTTATTTTGTTAACTTAATTAGAATGGAAGATCTATGAAGTGGCTTCATTACTCTGCTCTCCTCCCCACTGAGAGCTGGTGTGTGGGGAGAGTACTGGTGCACTATGGCTGCCGTCGCATCATCCAGGTGGGGCTGCACACTGGTGGTGGTGAAGGGGATCCCCATTACCTGTAAAACGCTTTGAGTGGAGTGTCCAGAAAAGTGCTATATAAGTGTAAGCAACTATTATCATTAGAATTAATTATCATCATCATTTACTGAATATCCAAGCACTAGGACCATGCTCGGATATACAGTAGCCGTTGGAATTCATTAGCTTCTCAGTAAATTATTCCCCACTATCAAAATCCTTTGCACACAAAACACCATCAGCACAACCCCACCGTCGCAGGAGGTGCACCAGTGAGTGGAACATTTCCGCTCGTCACTTTGGGTGTCTTAAATACAGGAAAAGGCCATGACAC